TCTGGTGACTATACCTACATCCCATGTATCTGTATCTGGTGACTATACCGACATTCCATGTATCTGTATCTGGTGACTATACCTACATTCCATGTATCTGTATCTGGTGACTATACCTACATTCCATGTATCTGTATCTGATAACTATACCTACCTTTCATGACTGTATCTATATCCCATGTATCTATATCTGGTGACTATACCTACATCCCATGTATCTGTATCTGGTGACTATACCTACATTCCATGTATCTGTATCTGGTGACTATACCTACACTATGTATTTGTATCTGATGACTATACCAACACTCCATGTATCTGTATCTGGTGACTATACCTACACTCCATGTATCTGTATCTGGTGACTATACCTACACTCCATGTATCTGTATCTGATTACTATACCTACACTCCATGTATCTGTATCTGGTGACTACAACTGCACTCCATGTATCTGTATCTGGTGACTATACCTACATCCCATGTATATGTATCTAGTGATTATACCTACATCCTATGTATCTGTATCTGGTGACTTTACCTACATTCGCTACACAGGACAAGTCAAGCGACCTACCATCGTTCTCCAAACACTTCTTCGTCATAAACGAGAAGACTAACGAGCACCCCTCCGTTGCCCAGTTGTTTCGGATGTTGTGCTGTGACATAGTGCTGTTTGGCCCATCCTCGGCTACAGGCGTAGCGAGAAGGATCATCTATGGAGAGTGTTGTTTGTACGGTTGAGTGTGCGGGTGAGATGGATTGGTAGGTATGTTAAAACCAAAAACCCTAAAACTCTTTTCGATACACAGGGTTCTCTCAGGGGACAGAACAAGTTATATACAATACTGGCTATACACTCTCAAACAATAAATCGCCCCCCCACCTCACCACCCTAAAAACCACCCCACAACAATAGCCCACATCAAAGGCCAAAACGAATAGGGACAAAGATAACAAAACCACATGTTACAGGGTTTAGCCTAAAACCTTAAACCACCCCATGCACAGGCGTAAAAGGAAAGGCTAAAGACACCCATCACGAAGATACAAACAGACTCTACAGACGCTAAAAATAGAACAGACTCTACAGACGCTTAAAATAGAACAGACTATACAGACGCTATAAATAGAACAGTACGAACGTGTGTAGGTAGGTACGTACACACACCTGCTGATAGGCTTCTCTGCTAACCACGCCGTGTGCATTGCCAAGTGCCTCTGCGATGTCTGGCGCAAGCGAAGAACTGGCCATGTCTTCTGAGAACACGGCATCAAAGTAGGTAACGTACATGCCACCCCCATAGGTCGCACTGTTGCATGAGATGACTGTGTTTGCCTGTAGGAAATTGGGGGTGTATGTGTATATTATGGGTGTGGGTACGGATGGGTTTGTATGGGTGCGGGTACAGATGGGTATGTATGGGTGTATAGGTATGTTCACGTATGTGTGCAGGGATAAATAGACATGTATAGTGCGCGGGATGAGATGCAGGTGAAATGGTATATATATATATATATACACATATAGATATAGATATATATATATATATATATAACTATATATATATATATATATATATATATATATACTATATACATATA